ACTTGACGTTCTTAGCTACTGGCGTGAGCAAGAATCCTTGCGCCGAGGATTATCCTGGAGAATCACCATTTTCGGAAATAGAGATGAAAACCATGTCCGATTTTATAAGACCTCTCCATTTTTACGCGTATGTCTCGTTCCACAGCTATGGTCAACGATTGGGATTTCCTTTTTCTTATACGGATTCACATACCTTCATTCAATATAAGGAACTGGTAAGAAACTGTAATAATAAAAGAAGTGTAGTTAAGAAATATTTGCGTAAAGGAAATATTTTAAAAATAAATGTATCTTTATGGCTTTATATAATATTTTCTCATTAAACCTGCTTTTAATTTGTACGGTTTTCGAATAATTTAAAGTATCATATTATTTGCACACTCACTATAATTAAATATTACGGTAAGAATTAATCTAATGTTTGCATTTTCAGTATCGTGTCGGCACGGCGGCGATCGATGCTCTTAAAGAGGTGCATGGAACAACATATTATACTGGATGTCTTGGCGAGATCAGTCAATGGGGTATGTGAAGGTTTAATTATCTGTAATAATTTACTGTGTTTAATGCTCTTTTGATAACGTTTTTCTTTTCATGACAATATTGCTAAAAATAACTTTATAATAACATTTTATTATTTTTTTATATACACATGGTAAAGTATACACTAAATACAGATTTTGCACTAGTTTTAGATAATTTATTATGTACAATAAATATAGTATTTTTTTTTTATCGAATCGCGCATGTCACACAAGATTTTTAGCATTTGTGTTAGCTTTGTCAATCGTCAATTATTTCTTGTTTATAAGTTTATAAGACGTCAATTTAGATATCTTTAAAAATTCATTGAAAGTTTAATATTATAAGCATTATTCAATATCTTTTACAGGAGGTGGTAAATAGTATTAAATTTTATGGAAATAATTCAACATTATTTTCAGTTAAAATTAATAAATATGTTTTGCCGAAAATCTGAATCGTAACTAGATTCGGAAGTCTAATTGTAGATAATTTTCATTATTTTATTTCATTATTTAGTTCAATTAAAATTTAAGAAATAAAAATAGTATACTGAAATTGAATCAAATCATCCAAAAAGAATTAATGTCCTTATCCTATATGCTTATAAAACTGAAACGTTTATTAATATAATATTACATTAAAATAATTGCAACTATAAAAGGTATGTTGCTTCTAATAAATAATCTAAAATTATTTCTAGGTGAGGTTAGTGGCGTCAGTATAGATTACATCGCAGCAGCTTATTTTAAGCAAGTCGTTTTTCGGTACCAATTGCGTGATAAACTGACTTTCTTGTTGCCACCTGAGCAGATCATCCCGACTGGAGAGGAAACTTTAGCTTCTTTGCTGACTATGTTTACTGAAGTATTAAATAGTACTATATTTACTGAAATTTTAAACTAATTAGATAATTATGCTGACATCGTGTTATGATTAAACATTAGATTTGTATAATTTATTGTTGTTGATTTTATACTTTTATATATGACAAATGAAAAATATTTATAAATCTATTTCTATGTAATCTATCAATGACAAACATGTAATAATGACAAATAAATTTCAGTATTACGCTTTTTAATTATATTCAATGCGTTAAATTTCCTATACTTTTACCATTTCAGTGAAATTATCTATGTGCATATATCTTTGAAAGAGCTCAAATTACTTCTTTTACAACATTGTTTCTTTTTTATCCAAATTTAATATTAAGTATATGTATTTCTCACTTTATTTTATTTTTTGCATACAATAGTACTAGTTTATTTAATTCAAGCACTTTCAATCAGCGGTTTCTGTTTTTTTTTGCAAGACATTTGAAACATTACTTTTATAATAATTCGTTAAAATTATTTAAACATATAATAATGAATAGAATTATTTAGAAACTATCTAAAAAA